ATTCAAGTTTTGTGCAAAAACGCATGATCGCTCCGGCTCGCCTGGTGCGTTCCAGCCTACGTTGCAGTAGACTTGAAGTACTCAGGTCATTAACTGCATTAGTAGTTGTTTCTACCCTTTGTGCTCACTAGCATAAACCACCATAAATTTTGCATAAAGTAAATGAATAACTTCCATTTAACGGTCGTTCATTGAAACTAATCTACTATTCAGCAAGCAATTTTCCCGTCAAAACTTTTAATTGCCCATACACGAGAACCATGCATATCTAAAGCCTGATTTGAAATATTTAAGTTGTACTTGAACAGGGGACGTTGCCCCAAAATTTCAGCTTTCTAGCTTTTCTAGTTCTCAAGTTAGTAATTTTCCCTCACATGAGTACCACGCATACCTGAGGCTGAGTTTGAAATCTTTAGCTCATACATGCACAGGGAATATCCCTGCAAAGTTTCAGCCTCTTATCTTGTCCGGTTCCCAAAATCGCTTTCTCGCTAAAAAATATGCATATTTTTTTAGGACGTTCATACGTGGCACCCAAACGTAGGCGGACGATGATATTAAAACAGGCATCACAATATACCGGGGACATCACAACATTTGTTTTTGCATTTGCGTATACGCAAACAGCTTAATCAACAATCATAGTCACACGGTATTCGCCTGATTATTAAGTCCTATTACTGTTGTTATTATTGACATTATTACAAACTAAGATAAACATTACTATTATAAAACATACCTCCAAAATCGGAAGTTTTCTGAGTGTCCTGTCTACCCCCGTAGCTTGCAATCACGTCTGATTCTTTTGAGACCTTCCGTAATCCTTCTCGAGCGCGACGTATTTCCATGATAAATTTTGACTCACTATTGCTTCCTTTAGACTCATCGATGGCAACTTTTTTTGCTTCTGTTTGGGGTTTAGCTGAAGTTTCGTGTAAACTATAGTGAGTTTGCGTGGTGTCCGGTGACAGTTTCATTGTTTCTTGTCTTTTTTCGTCCAGTTCATGCCGATATTCTCGTGTTTTATCACTCCAGTAAGTTGCAGATTCATCGACAGCAAATTTACGCCGTTTTTCTGCAACATCCTGGGAGCCTGCCACAATTTTCGGGATTTTTTTTGCCCTGATTTCCCGGTCACTATCGCTGACGTCACCATATTTGCCCTTTACTAAAATTGATTTACTGCGCTCTTGTTCCTCTTTGTGATACCTCAGCAGCTCAAGACCTTCCATTAGTGTATCACGTCCACTTTCACGCCGATGCGCTTGTAAACCCGGAGTATCACGAATTAATTTCTTTGGCACATCCGGTTCAACAGTTTTTAGAGAGGGACTCGAATCAGCACGAATGAGTATTCGCGGGATTGACACCGGTGTAAGCGGTATTTCTGCGAATTCACTTAGTGTACGTTTCCCGAGACTGGTGAAGTGATCCCGAGCCGCGGCTGCACTTCCAGTTCCCTGCTTCGCCGGTTCGCTGCTCTTTACCTTTTCGAGGACTGGAATTTCCCTGTATTGCGGTCTATCATTTTGAATTTCCCGTAGATACTTTCTTTCCGAGGAACAGCTTTCCTGCACTCTCCGACAGCTTCGTATGCCGATCTTTTGGCTTGCATCGCCAATTCTGATCTTGCGAGCCAAAAATGGCCCGTAGTAGGTTGTGAGATAGGCCTCTCTGTCATTATCATTTTCGCTGTAGGTTTGCTTTCTGGTGTCCAGGAATCTGGTGGCTTTGCTTGCGGCCGCCGTTGAGGAGACGAAAGTTGTTGGTACAATTCGAACAGTTGAACGCGGATTTTCTGCCATTTGAAATAAGTAGTCGTTGTAACCTGGAGCATCCCGGGTGCGCCAGCACTCGTCACACCGTCGAGGTATCCCATGTCGGTAATTGCAACACATGCAGTCGCAACAGCAGTATCGCTGCCGATCGCAGCTGCGACAGCGTCGTTTCCTGCTGCTACTCCTCTGTGACACATCATAACCATTGTCAGTCCACAGCTGGTTAAGGTCTGGTACTGCATAGTCAGTGAAACGATCAAATTTGTCGGTGTATTGTCGCCAGTTCCACGATGATGATCGCACGTCGTTCGGACTCAGTAAACAGCGATGATGTCGGCTATCACAGCCACAGATGTCTCCGTGAGTGATACGTCGACGGAACTCCACGTCGCCAGAATCGTCACTTTCGGCCCAATGTTCCACTTTCTGCGAAAACATCTGCAAGTGAAAAATGCAATTTTTCCTAGTATGGTATCAAAACACTCGATATAAAACCAAGGAAATCCGTTTGATATGCATGTGATAAGCGATATGATTAATTACACATTATTTGCTGTCATTAATCAAGCAGTTGTCAAATTCGTAGCCAGTATAAAGTGAAATACTTTTCAATTA